GCTGACGCGTGTACAGCTTCAGTCTATAAGAGTAACATTAAAATTTGACGCATTTTTGGTCTCGTATCAAACTAAATGTAAACCAATGAGAACCCAAAAAATTTTGACGATTTACAAAGTGCGCGTGGTAATTTTTTTCTCTTACGGAGAGAAACACCTGCTCAATGAGTAATTGTTCCTATCCACTTTAAGCCACTGGAGTATTATCCTATCGCCGCAACAAACAATGATGATCTTCTGCCTGATATATCCTGCTGTACATGACACCAAATTACAGGGGATCTCCGCGCTTGCGCTGGACCACAGATGCCGGCGTCATGGGCTCACCTGTCTAAGCTATTGTGTGATTCCGTTTAAAATATGACGGTATTGTTATGGTAACCCAGGTTGTCCATTGTTTGTCCACCCCTTCTATTCACAAAAGAGCGTTTAAATTACTTCAGCCGTTAAAAAACGGCATTCAATGAACTTACTTCTTCAACATAAGGTAAATTTAGGTAGGCCTACGTTACTGCACAAACCTATGGTTTCCTTCCATAACCATCCACGTACAGTAAACATGAATGATGATCCCCTGTAAACCATTTTGCATTAATATCCGTATAAATATGAATAAATCATTATGTAATAATTATTTATAATCTCCTGGAACTCGTTTTCACATACTTTCTCTAGTGGCACATCAGGCATGTATGCATCATATTTCAAATGCCATGGTATTATGTTTCAATAATTTGAATTATCCAATATTTTCAAATTTCAAATGTTAAGATGCAGCTTAAATTTCTATTTACAGTATCAAAATGTATGATACTGGTAGGAATGGTTTGGCCCCGTAGTGTCATTATATAGCCTCATCTATAATTAAGGTGCACTTCATGTCTGGTTTCGCAATCTTCCAAGTTGGTTTACAACCGAAGAAGGAACGACTCCCCGCCCGTGTCCTGCACCGATTGAATAAAAGCTAAATGTTTACCACAGTTTCGCATAGTTTCGGGAAGTTAACATTCATAGGCCTAATATGTACTAGTATTTAAGTCGGGTATAAAACGGAATATTAAACTCGGCTATCAATAACCTAAATTTGAACCTGTGAATTGTCGGATTGTCCGATCAGACTGCTGTAATCAGGTCATAACTTTTTGAGCGCTATATGTAAATACCTACCGTTTCTATGATATTTGCAGTTTGGAATAAAGTCAAAAAGACGCTCTTGCCAACAAGAATAATAAAAAAACTAAAGTTGGAGTACATGTAACTCTTTAAGTAGTGATTGTGACTGTTCGAAGTTCCACTTCTACATTTTTACTCCCCTACCCCCCCCCCCCCCACCCCAAAAAAAATCTCATTTAATGTATGTACATTGTTGGTTGTTTGGGTACCCAGACAGTTAATTTTACTATTACATGACAACCAGGCAACTGAGCATCGTGAAAATTAAAGATGTGATAAGTAGCATGTTGATCTACCTTACTTGACCATTGAAATACCCAACACTAATCTATTTTAAATATACGGGTCCTAACTGAGAGGGATTCATTTAACCACTGACATAAGAAGGAGCTTGGACCCCTCGGATTGTCAGGATATTGTTCCATAAGAAACATCCAGAGGGTTAGGCAACTTCATAATCATACAGGCACATGGTCAAGATTGCCTAAGTATGGTGATCGAAGGAAACTACACCCAGAAAAAGTTTTACTCCCGTTTTATTATGTATTAACCAATTTATTTCGTTATAAGCGTTATTACCAATGGCCAAAAAAACTATATATATAAACTTTATTTACCAGTAAATGAAAATATTTAAACCAATGAACGCTTTCCATATACACTTTACTGTCTTATTGAGCCCGTGTTGTATCAAATTTAATCCTCGGCTGATCATTTGAGAAAAGCACCCAAAACAGCTCAATTCGTGTTGTTAATTAAATAATTATTCGATCATCACCAATTTAACCCATTTTAAGTTAGCGTACCCTGAATTTTTAAAACCAAAACCTGTCCTTAACTTACTGAGTTACATTGTTAACTAATAAACTTACCAAGGTAAAGAATAACAATGATGGAGGTAATTGCAAACATATTCCAATCTTATATAGCTTTTCAAAAAGTTTTTTCCTTATAGCTATTTCCTGACTTTCATAAGAACAAGATTACTTCGCGCCAGTAGTACACGTCGCTTGGCACAGTACTTTCTTCGGAGACTGGCAGCCCGCGTAGTTCAGCTCTAACTTGTCCGAGTTGTTATTGGGGTCTATAGGGTTAGGTGGGTTCACCCCTTGGCCTTTGTAGTGGATGAGGATACATCTTCCTACTACGGGGTTGCCTTGGGATGGGATCACGTTTAAGTCGATTTGTGTTGTAAAAGACCCTCCCTGGCAGGCACCTGAAGTATGACAGGGTGTCCTTTGGCTTATTATTATTATTATTATTATTATTATTATTATTATTATTCCAAACACTTAACATTATTCCACCAAAGAAAAAATCAAACGGTTTTATATTGCTCTTTTATAGTAAATCTAAATCTTTACACACGGACGGTTGCTGTTGATTCTATTGACTCTGGGAGCTAGACTCTTATAATGAATTTGACGAGCAGTACGTACCATCACAGCTCCATAGTACTGTGAGGATGTTTCCGGATATAGACTGGATCGTTCCACACGTGTGGAAAATCTGAGATTCTGTGAACATCGGCAAGCTGCCTGAACCACCTGGGAGTGAGAAGAGTAACAGAGCGTGACAACTATACAGCACTTTCAACCTGTATCAAAAATTAGTAGTGTAACAAAAACTGGCACGTGTACTGTAACAGTTTAGCATGCTAGCGTATCACTAAATTCACGTATATAAATGAGAAAAAAAAAATACAAACATTAGCTGTGTAATTATTCACCGAGCAAATATGTTTTTAACATGGAATAATTATGTACTGTTATTGTATAATTCAAATGCTTATAGCAACAATGTACGCTATTTGGGACAGCCCTTATATCCGGCTCAAAGAGAAGGGTCATTTTCAAAACTTAATCTCCAACCTTCTAAAAGGTACCACCAAAAGCAACAAATCTCAGAAGCTTGGTTCTGCTGTCCATGTAAACTCTGTATATATACTTATAAAGTTAAATAGCTGAATATACGTTTTAAATCTTTAAGGTAAGGGTTGCCTTAAGAAACGAAGGACTTTAATCGAAATGTTGCTAATTAAGATAATCATACTAGTATATTAAAATGAATAAATAAATAGGAAGATTTTGAAGACAAATACCACAGTAAGACTTTAACCCTCCAGCGCACGTTGCACTATTAAAGACAGTGTTTATAGTAGACTATAAAAGGCCTTATACACAATATGTAGTGTTGAATGCAGGCGTGACGGGAATGGTAGTTTATAAGAACCGTAGTCCTTGTCCCCTTACTTTGTACATGTGGCATTCATCCCATACACTGGTACTAACCCCAGCAACCCGCCTAACCCTAAACTGTACTAAACATATGGGGGCCCGGACTTCCTTTCCTAGAACAACATTCCTGTCACACCGGCGTAACGTGACAGAGTCCCCCATGATAGAGAGTCCACTTCCCATGTATTTGCACAGATAAGCCTCGCTCTAGATCTCGAGCCGCTTAGGTCAGGCTTACCCTAATCATTAAAACTAAATGAAGACCGACTTTTTGTTACGGACGTTTTGTTACGGATGTTTTGTTACGGAGCCTCAGTTTCGTCACCCCTGCCCTTACCTCCACCCTGCAGGAACCCCTCCAGTGCCAACCAGCAGTCGTATGTAGTCACCACCGCCAGGTGTCCTCCCATGCTCGTGCAGGTGGCTGAAGCATCTGTTCTAGAGATGGCTCCCCTCGCGGCGTCCTCATAAAAGCAGCCCCCACAATTATTGATATTGTCATTACACACACTGCCCACGTATTGGAAGTTTGGATTGGGGCAGCAAGAAGGAGGTAGGGTTGTCGGAGGGGGCGTGGTGGGAGGGGGTGTTGTCGGAGGGGGCGTGGTTGGAGGCGGTGTTGTTGGAGGGGGCGTGGTTGAAGGGGGTGTTGTTGGAGGGGGCGTGGTTGGAGGGGGTGTGGTTGGAGGTGGTGTTGTCGGAGGTGGCGTGGTTGGAGGGGGCGTGGTCGGAGGTGGCGTGGTCGGAGGCGGTGTTGTTGGAGGTGGCGTGGTTGGAGGTGGTGCGGTTTGTCCAGCTGAAATAAAAAGCATCAAAACGTATTGAAAGAAACACCAGGATTCAAAATTTAAAAATACCTATGTAAACAGGAACAGCCGACAATCTCTAACGAGTATATTTGATTTACTTAAAATAATTTACAATGTGAATAATGACTACTAGCATAACTACGTGAAGCATTATCTATATACTTACCACACACATGATAGAATATTTTCTGGAGTAAATTGCACTCGCACGTGGGACAGCTGCAGCTGCTGCAACCTAAACGCAATACGAAGTTATCCAGGTGTTAATTCTAAACAGAGTGTACTGACCTTTGCAATAACCCATATAAAATACAACGGGTTTAAAATTGGTGTGCATGTACTATGGTATTAATCTTATTCATATAATATATTGTATACTTGAACAATCGTCCTTTTGATCAGATAATGTGCTATATTTGAAATATGCATCTACACAGTCAATTGGCATATGAATGCTAGTACTGGTACATGTTAATCATTTTAATTTAATTTTTTATTTTATTTTATAAAAGAAAAGACAAATGACTGGCGGCTAACCGAAACTCGGTCAAGGTCTACCCTTGTTTCCATTCAATACAAATGTTGTAACCTAGATGTAGTATACCAGTAAATAGCAAGCATAATACCACATAATCCGTCTTTCCATTCTCAGCATCATGGGTGATGCGTCATATAGGATCATTGTGGTTGTGTATACTATCAAGTATGATGTTCGTTATTACATATATTTCTAACCAGGAATTTGCAAACAGAAAAGTTAACTTACTCCCAGGTAGCGCCACTGGAGGGACGGTTCCGCCTGTTGAAAAAACAATAACACGTATTTTAAACTTTCATGGATAATTAAATGATATCGAGTTTACCAGCTGGTAAGAAATGTACCACACGGACACCCACTGGCAAAGTGGTATGTCCTAATATTTCCTCGGCAATATTTATTCGGTTATTGTGTATCGATCAATACTATGAATCTCCATTTACATGTTCAATGGTTTTGTTTCGAAAACTGCCAGGAACAGTCGATAGCAAACACAAAATGCAGTTTGAAGTACTTGTAGAGGGTTAAGATTAAATCAATCCACATGTTCATTGTTTTCATGCAGATTTAACTTGTAGAAATATCCTTGACAGCATTCTCAACTTACCACAAGACTTGGCAATCCATTCTCCTATTATCCAGGCGCAGGAACACGAAGTGCAGTCTGGAGTACAATGAGTACAATGACAACAATGGGAGATTCACATGGAAGATTAAAAAATATATTGAGGGGGGGGATACAGAAATATTTTCTGACAGTCTTCCAAATTACCGGTACCTTGGTTGATCCATCCTCCATTTTTGACAGTCTACTGACAGAAAAAATTAGATGGACGTCAACTTGAAAACATTCTGACCGTCTCCCGGAAGACCCAAATGACGGCCTCAGTCCGCCCCTGAATTAATACTTATTGTAAAGCGAACTTCGAATCTGGAACACATGGCTTACTCAAGAAGTAACGTGCATCCTTCAATAAAGCAAACACTGAATTAATTCCATTTTCATTAAACGAAAAACCAAAAAAAAAAAAAAAACTGCAGCAACAATCGATATTAACTGAAGTGCAGCTAGCAAACCTGAAGTGCAATCATGTGTCGTATTGTTTTAAGGTCATCGACATGTATATATCTCAATTTGTGCAGTATAAGTTCCCACCTGTAGAGGGCAGTGTTGTCGATGGTGGTGACGTGGAATGGTAAGGACAGAAGGCTGGTAGCCAATCACACATTGATCCCCTCTTACGTCGATGAGAGTTGAAGGCCCATGGGAATTGCTGTTGAACTGCATTACCAGCACTTACTTTGAATGAAAGAAAGAAAAGGACAACATGGACATATTAGTGCAATGTCATTCTGTGAAGAGGGCTTGTTTATCAGCTTGTTTCGTTCCACAGGACTAATGCACATGTTTTTTTCCGAAATGTAGTATACCTTATTTATTTTGTCAAGTATTTCTATGGCAAACGTAAGTGTCTAAACTCACACCCTTTTTGTTTGTTAATCATGCTAGGGGCAACTCTGGGATACAAGTTGGGAAGAGTTGAAGGGTTGAGTTTTATGGCGTATTCAACAAAAATCATTGAGCACAATTATATTCGTGGCACACTGTAATGGTACGGCCCACTCACCTCCTCCTCCTCCGCAGCCGTTCAAGTTGTACTGGGCTGATATTAGATTGCATTTACACGTGTTACAGGGACACACGTGGCATTCTGAAAAAATGCGAAAAAAATTATTAAAAGAAAAACAACAACAACTATAATAAATCATACTTCTTCTGCTGCTTATAAAGCAGGACACGAGTCAAATAATGACTATCATTCAACCTACCTGTAACATTTTTGTTTCTGAAGTAACACTTACACTACTCATTTCATAGCACATGGTACCCCAGCACTCTCGAATTGTCGAGCCAGATTCAAAACAACAGATGCCATCCCTACCCCGATAACAACAGTGATACATTACACGTGTCAACATGTGAAAAAGTTTCATATATTCAGTGAAGTGTTCCATTTATCGATCAATCGAGTAGAAATTGAACACTTTCCTATTTTTGTCGCAAAATGTTGATTATTTTCATTTTTTCGGACTTTGCTAGATCGTTGTGTATCCATAAATAAATAAATAAATCAATAATAATAATACTACGAAATAAAATGAACCGAAAACTTACCTCCCCCATCAAACGAGACCCCTTGCAACTGTGGTGGGTAAGAACCGCCTTATATAAGATAATCAAATGGACAGATTAATAAATAAATGGATAAACGAATAGATTGAAAGATGGCTGTAAAGAAAAAATTATCTGAACGAAGGAAATATTCTACAGGGGGTATATGAACAACCGGATACAAACGGCCAATCGTTTGAGCACCAACAATGCGTGACTGTTCAATAGGTCACTACAGAGACAGCACTACCAGAATACAGTGACAAAAAAGGAAATGTGTGTGTGTGTGTGTGTGTGTGAGAGATCCTAGAGAGACAGAGAGAGAGAGAGAGAGAGAGAGCGATGAAGTAAAGGAGAGAGGAGAGGAAACTCACCACATTGAAACTGCCGCCATTTATTGAGAAGATAAGAGCAATCACAGGTGGAGCATCCCGCTAAAAGGTGAAATATGAAGAGTAAGCTTCAACAGAAAATAACCTGTAGACATACCAGACGAGACAAATTAATGTTCAGTATAGTTTTGCGTATATTTGTCTGGAATACAGACCCGGTATGTATTATGGAGATGTAAATAACATAAGAGTTCTATATATTGGGCACATACCCCGCTACATGTAGATGCTTTTTTTTTTGGTCGTTTGCATGTACTAGTACTTTAGTAATGTCGCGGGATGCACACGAATGTCTATCACTGGTTTATATCTTTGTGAAGATGTTGTCGGATTGCTGATTTAAAATAAGTATGGTGGCCAACCTCTGCGAGAAAGTTCTTTAGTGACAGCAACCTTTGTTAGGAAAATTTTCAAAGCCTTTAGGCATTTTTTTGTTCCATTACATGGACAAAATGACCATTCCCAGAGCCTATCATACTAACTTTAGATCGATCTATCTTCTACTTACTAATATACTAAATTTGATAGATTGTCATCTTGGTTTTAAAAGCGTGGTTGCCTTTGATAACGATTTAAAAAAAAAAACAAGATGACTAAAACATCTGGTAGTTTTTAATAAAGCAACCCCAAACACATACATGAGCATGAAATTTAGATATGCCATACTTATGTCATTATTCCTTATAGCAAATTAACAGAGACCTATTAAAATATAACCCACGCCCTTTTCGAATGCTCCCCAGCAGGCACGATGATATTTCGTTTGATTTTAAGGCGTTGAGCAACAACGAGTTAAAGTTCAGCGGCCCAGATTCAATGGTAAAGGTGTATATCAATGTATTATAAATTGTCGAAAACACATTTAGTAGACATATTGAAACACAAATATTTGTACACTATAGATTACAAAAAAATTTCCTACCCTTTACATATATATAACAATTATTCCCATCAAAGGAGGAATGTAAGGGACAAATCAATATTTGATTTATAAAAAACTAATCCGCACCTGCTGTCGTCGTTGGAGGGGCTACTGTTGGCGTTGTTTCTGTTGTCGCCGGTGGAGGTGTTCCAGTGAAGCAGAACCAGGGCGGTAGTCCATAGCAATCGCCTGGCTGTTGCGTTGTGGCTGTAAATTAACAAAGTGCATATTAAAAGTAAACCCTCCACGGCTTCTTCTTGCCTATTTCTTTTTTTTTACATTTTAAATCATGTCTACTACTACTACTACTACTACTACTACTACTACTACTACTACTACTACTACATCAAGACGCATTTTATATTACAAGGCGAGGAATTTAACATAGCATGCATCCATCAACACTCTTAAAGTTTTGGCAAAAAATTAGTTTGAGAACTTTTTATACAACGCCAGGAGTTTTGTTTGTAAATACCTGGCGGAGGAGTTGTCTCAGTTGTACATGGTAACCATGGAAACAAACCACAACCACCAGGAGACTGGGTTGTTGCTGAAATTAATCGTTAATATAGATCTTCCTATTGGGTTGTTGCTAAATAGCACG